AGGTTGCTTCTCCTGTTTCTTTCTTCTTCTGCTTTTGGCTGCAAACAAGGAAAGCAGCAAAAGTCTTTCTTTCTCTCCCCCAAACTTCACCAGAAACGAGTCTTTGGGACCCTGCAAGGCATCCTGCTTCAAGAGATTGTGCCGGCAAAGACTCATTTCTGGGGGAGTTTGGGGGCATAGAAAGAATTCTGCTGCTTTCCTTGCATGAAGCCTGAGAATGAAGCTCAAAAGCATGCTGGGAATGTGGCTGCCTTGGAGGGGGTGGGGAGATGTGAGGGAAAGAGAGAAAGAGAAAGAAAATCCCCAGCCCTCGAGGTTAGATCGGATTTCTCTTTTTCCCCCTCCTTCTCTCTCTCTCTCTCTCTCTCCTTTTCCCTCCCACCAATGTCAGCAAGCCACATCAGTCAAAATTTACATTAGTGGTCCTCTGGATTTTAAATAATGAGTTTGGTGGTCCTTGAGGTCCAAAAGGTTGGCGACCCCTGCTATACTCTACTGGTAAGGGTTGATAGTGGTGAGAAATTAAATATTTTCAGGAAAGATATAAAAAATATTTATTGAAAGGGCTATGGTGCAACCTTGATTTTGCATATCAAATGAAATTAGAAAATAATCTTATCTTATTTGGAAAGTGTTTTCCCCATTCCTACCTTTTAATTAGCCAATTGACATTTGTATTTTGTTACAGATAGATACACCAATAATTTTTCTTCATCTTGGAATAAAAGTATGAATTTTGCTTTTTCAGCAGGTATTGAAAATAAATTTAGTTATGTCTAGATTCCTCAAAGAACAGTTTTATTTGAAGATATCATATTGGCACAGACTGGTGAAAACCAATTCTGAGAGTTCCTGCACTTAATTAAAAAGCCATCCTCCCCACTTCCAAACAATGTCACATTGTCCAATCTAGGTGCTAACCAGTTGCCTGGTTTCTTCTCTCCAGCCAGTTGTTGGAATGTCGTTGATTCACAGGAAAAACTATTCTCCTGTGAATAGAGAAACTAGTATTTTGTTTTGGCTACAAAAGTCCAGCTACCTCTATTCCTTCCTCCCTATCCCTCAGTGTGGCAACACTGAAGCCTGAAAAATGGCCTTGGTGAGACCAGCTTCAGGGTTGACATCATGGTTGTCCCAAGGTTTTTTCCAAAAACCAACTGGATTTTCTTGGCCCATTCCCCACAGGTCTAAGACAATTCACCATGGCCAACTTGCCATGGTCAACTCAACTCAGGACAACTCGCTGCAGGACAAGTGTTACACTAATATAAAAGAAATGGTGGAATAGAATAATTAAAGTAAGGATGCAAAGGAAGGTACAGAATGAAATGTTAATAGCAAAAAATTAAATATTTATTTATTTTAAATAACTAAGTAGAATTGTTAAACTGTCCCATGGCGAGTTGGCTGCAGCAAGTTGGCTGTGGCAAGTTGTCCCATTCCATTCCCCACAAGTCAGTTAGAACTGAAGAGGCTTCTTGGATGAGAAGTAAAATGTTTTCAAAGGAAAAAAAACCCAAAGGTCCAGTTTGCTTAGGAGAAAAGCACCTTGGGTCTGAAAAAAGTTGGGACTATTTTAATGAAGAGCAGAGAAGTAGTGTGTTTGAAAGATCTGCCCTATAAAGTAATAGATGGTTGAAAGTGAATGTCAAACATGGAGCAAAATGTCTTTGAAAGTCAAACATGGAGCAAAACTGCTGCCATGTTTTCTTTGAAAAAGTGCTGTATCAAGACATGTATGAGCTTTCTAGTACTTATGTTCTTGAAATAAATAATTAGAAAATAAATGATTTCTAGTTTTTACTCTTACTTTGCAGAGCAAATAAAAGGTTTTTGCATATTACAAAAACTATTGCTACTTTTTACCACCTTTGTAAACTTTGGATTCCTGCACCATCATCACCATGATGGGATTTTGGCAAGGGATGCACTGCACTTCACAAAGACAGATAAGAATTTCAGAAAACAACTGGTTCAACTTATCAGGAGGACTTTAAACTAAAATTGAGGGGGAAGGTGACCAATCTTTCAGATCTCCGGGATCTAATTCCAAGCAAAACCATAGAAAGCAAGTCAAATAAGGAAGTAAGGTGGAATGCAAAGGAAGACAAGCTCAAACACCAAATAGGAGACATAGAAAGCATACCCAGAGTCACACATAAAGATCTCAAGTGCACAAAGTCTGGGGAACAAACAGGGTGAACTTGAACTATTAATACATGATATGATATAGTTGATATGATATAGTTGGAATAATAGAAACTTGATGGGATGTAACTCGTGACTGGAACTTACTGATAGAAGGATACAAACTCTTCAAAAAAAACAGGAGCCCATAAAAGAGGTGGTGAAGTTGCACTCCATACGTAAAGGATGATTATATTGCTAGAGATATGCATGAAACCAAAGATGAAACCAATCAATCAAGTGAGAAATCAAGTGAGAAATCAAATAAGTTCCTAAGCAATTTAGCCGACTCTTTGCTGTCCAAAAAGTAGAGAAGGAAACTATAACAGCCATACTGGACTTAATTCTTACAGAGAAGAAGTTATATTTAATACATTTTTTAATTTTTATTTCTTTAAATACATCTTTGGGTGAACAGTGTGGTTCCAGGTTTTTTACATTTTAAAATCAGATATGACCATAATTACATATTCATCTATTATCTATTATCTAATTTCATATCATTACCAATTACCAATTTTCCATTTTATATTCTCATACATTACTTTATATCAATCTCTATATTCTTAATCACTCTTTTTGCTTAATATATATTCTTGTGTTTGTCATATTTGCAAATTTTATCAAATTACACCATTCCATTAATCATTCATAATTTTATCTTAATTTGTATTATCCAATAGTTACCCCTTTTAGTATTCATTCTGCCACCATTGTATATTAGAACACACATCCTTGTCTAATTTCATTACATGACACAAATCATATTTTCCATCTTATTTTCCTTTAACAAATTATATAATCTAATAACAATATAATCATTTTTATCTATTACCATATACTATGTATATATATGTTCTCAGTCAGATTCCACATGGTATTTCCTTCCCCATACTATCATGTTCATTTTCTTGCATATTCCATAAACAATTCAATATCTTAAATAATAATCCTATAATAAGATCTTGTTTTCATATCTGTGCCAATTAAATTATTAATTCTTATTTTTGTTCTAATTGATATTTTATATATCTTTAATAATAATTCTATAATAAAATATCAATTCCAGGCTCATCAAAATCTATGTTTATATATCCTAACTACTAAAACACACCCCTTCATGAGGAATCACCATTTCTAAATTTTCTTGCATGTTCTATATTTTATTCACAAAGTCCAAGCTTCTGTTTATCATTTCTTTCATAGTTTGAAGTTCCAGCCTTATTTTTTTGCATATTTCGGTCATTTTTGTTTTGCTTATTTTATTTTTGTATCCAATTGTCTGATTGTTCTGCAGTTTTTATTTAAATCAGCATCTTCCTTTAATTTTTAAAGCCAATGTCCTTAAGTCTTTATTTCCCAAGTTTGATCAGTCTATTCCTTTTCAAAGCATCCAAAAAAAATCCCAACAAATCCAGGGATAGTATCTTCATAAATTCCTACACTGTTTTGGTTTCAATATTTCCACTTTCTGGGGTCTTGTTGTAATACAGTTCCTTTTATTTTCTTTTAAGCTCATACTTTAAATAGGTAATATAGTTTAAGGGATCTGCAGAATTTTTCTTTTTAACAGCAGGTTCACTCTTAATCCAGTTTTCATTTTCCACCTTTTTTCCCCGTTTCTTTAAACTTTCATTAGCTTTACTAATTTTCCAACTATTGGCTATTATTTCCTTTTTTCCACAGTCAATTTCAGCATTTTAAATAATGCCTGTTTAGTGCCAAATCCTGTACAATTACCAATTCCAATTTTATATTCTTTTTGTAAAAGTTTTCTCTTTGAATTATTTCCTTTCCATTTAAGTTTAAAAAATTAAGTTCTTTACGTGGAAACATTGTGACTTTCTAAATATTGTGGTTCTCTGAATTTATATGGATTCTAAACAGACTGAGTAAATTGAAGCTGGAAAGCAGCAGTATTTGTTTTAAATCAAGTGGAAGATTTTTTAAAGCTTTCCCCTTTGGTGACTTATAAATTTTTTGATACAATATTGGCGTTTGGTGGGCCTTTGTGGATTAGAAATTTATTAAGAAGAGAACAACCTTTTGAAGAAAACTTTGGATAATTTGGTTTTGTGAATCCTAATAGTAAAGAGTATGAAGTTGCCTGTGGACTGAAAATAAGAAGAGGGGAAAACAAAGGGAATTTTGTGGTGGAATGTTTTGGAGTTTATTCTGTAAATGGCATTGTAGAGTACCATTTGATTTATTATTGATTGTTTCTTCTAAATAGCTTATTACTTAATCAAAATGACAAGTAATACAAATATAAGCAAAATAGGGTGAAAAAAACGCATCTGCACTATCAGCAACATCAGCATCTAGCCCAGCAAGTCAATGTTATTAGCCCAGCAAGCAAGTTATTAGATAACATGTTGCAACAGGAAAAATTGAAGACCTGGTTTTGCCAAAGGGCCTAGGGAACCCAGAGTGGGATGGAATCCATGAAGTGGCTTATTTGACTTTGTTGTTGTTGCTGGGGGATTAATCACTTCTTGTTGTTTTATATATGAGATTTTTATCTTTGTAAGCTGCCCAGTCATTGAGAATGAGTTGTGCAGCCATATAATTTTTTTAAATAAATATATAAATTTTCATCATGCAGATGTCATACTGCTATGATATTGTACTTCCTTTTCCAAAGCAGTCATTTCTTTTAGTATTCTGCAAATTTTTCAGGAAAATCAGACATGGCAAAGATAAATAATAGGATGCTATGTGATAGTATTAATGTTTAATTGCTGATATCCTGTAGCAGAACACAAATTACTTTGAATTATTGTTGCATATGCTAATTTATTTTTCTTTGCTAGATACCCAGAGCCTTACACAGCATACTTTCTACCAGGCAGTGATCCTGAATTCACTGTATCTCCTCAAGCTGGGGAGCTTCTTCCACTTGACACAGCAGGAACCTGCATTACTGTTGGATTCAAGCCTAGTATGTACAGCAAAAAACACAAAGCAACTCTGGTAATAAAGGTGAGCCCTAAGAATGAGATTCTTGATACCACACTTGTAGATTTAAGGGATATCTTTCCTCCCTGATGAATATGAAGACAATATTTCTATAGCTAAATTTTCAAGCAATTGAAAAAGGTTTTATTTCCTAATAAAAATAAAATAAATTAGAAAATTATTGTAATTGTACTCATTTTTCATGCAGTACTTTCAGAATTATAAGTTCCTAAGAAAACAAATAGTTTATGAAATGTAAACATATTTTTTCACTGTATTACAAGAAAACCTTGATTTAATGAGCCACTGTTACTCTTACATATTTGTTAAATTCATTCTTAGTGGCTTATGTAATTTACATGAAGACTTTAATATACAAATACAAATAACATTTGGGTCAAATTAAGTAATTTGTGTACAGATAGTGGTCAAATTATAACCATTTGTTTAACAATCACTTGAAGTTACAACTGTACTGAAAAAATATGACTTACAACTGGTTCTCATATTTACAGCATCCCAGCATTCCTGCAGTCATGTGATCATGATTTTGGTGTGTTGAGGTATTAAGATTTATGAGCTGACCAGCAACAGTAATAGTTGCCAGATGCTGTAAGTCTGGCTGATGCAATTAAGAATTAATCAGCATAGCATTGGTATTTCCCTTTAAGACTAGGGATGGGTTCTATCCCTTTAAGAAGTGTTTATATAATTGCAGCCATTATAGAGGCCATGTTCTCTTTCCTTGTGTCCAGTATTCATTGCAGAGAGTTAAGAATTACAAGAGTTACAATTAACAGTTACAATTAAGAAGAAGAAAGTTTGCTTTCTTGTAAGTTATTTTGCCTACCACTTATGTTGCTGTATATAACTGTGTGCTATGTTTTGCTCCTGGGTTGTCTCATAATGGTAGTCACACTGCAAAGGCTCTGACATGGTTCTTGTCAGCTGTAAATGTTTGCACATTTACAGTGATTTCAGCATCCCATGTGAACCCATGGGATCACTATTTGCATCTTTCCCAGCCGGCTTCCAACAAGCAAAGTCAAAAAGGAAGCATGTTGCAAATCATGGTCATATGATACCTCATTTATGTCAGCACCACTTAATGACAATTTTTGTGGTCATAAGTCAAAGACTACTTGTAATGACATTGCTCATTGCAAATCCTGATGCAGACTAATGTAAATATAAATACCTTGTCCAGACAATTTGAGGTGTGATGGACATTTAAAGAGATATCAATATGGAAATTTGCCCATTTCTTCCAAAATCCTATATTAAATGGTGGTATATTAAAGTGAGTTTTTATTTTAACAATTACTGCAGGTATATATTTATAAGGGTATATCTGAAACCAGAGCTCCCATGCATGGCTGTTTTTTGTTATTTTTTAAATTTGTGTGAGGGTTTTTCTTCTGTATGTCTTAAACATGGAGAATGTTAGCTTAGTTTAAAAAATAATAATAAAGGTGAACCTTCTTTCATCAGCTGTGAAATTTTATTCCCTCGGGATTCCCTCAGTTGTGAAATTTAGTTCTTACTTTTGCCTTAAGAAGAAACCAATATTAGAAGTTATAACAAACAAACACACACAAACTAGAAGACAAACCAGTTATTATATAAACAAATCTTCCTCAAATTAGAAGAACAGAAAGGTGATTCAAGTTTTTTTCCTAACAAGGTTAAAAAAGAGCCACTGATAAAACGATACCAATCTTACCTTATAATTGAAGTGGCATTTTAAAACTACCTAAATTCTGGGAGGAAGAGAGTCCTGAAACTATAATTTTTTAGTAAATCATTTCTTCTAAGTCTGAAGTATAATTAGAACCAGTGGTGGGCTGTAACTGGTTTAACAACTGGTTTTGTGAGCATGCAGTGTTCAAAAACACCAATTTGAACCTAAAAAGCTTACCTTCTAGGGAAGCGGTAAGTAAAACAACTGAGGCACGGTAATCCACTGTGAATGAATCAGCTGAGCTCAGAAAAATGGAAATATAGGACAGGATTGGGCGAAGGTGGGTAGGTGGTGCCAGCTGATCATTGGAACTACTGGTTCACTAGAACCTGTCTGAACCAGCAGCAGCGCACGACTCGTTAGAATTGAGTATGTCTCATTTTAAAGATGCTTATTCATGCTGTTTCCTTTACTCCAGTACAACATAAGCTGTTTTTCAAATATGACTTGTGTAAAATTTTGGTAATGTTGATCATAGAATTAAATTCATCTGGCTGATATTTCTTTATATAGTGTTCTACTGGCTTTTAAAAAGCAAGCTATGAGAATAAGCCAATTTCTCTGTACAGTATGTAAAGTTCACATGAGATACAAAATTTAATAATAATTAATATTATGATCTGGCTCTCTTTCTGAGAGCACAATTGATGACACTGCATTCATTTGTTCTAAACTGTTTGCAAAAAGTATGTTTTTGATTATTATCTGAAGAAGGATCATGTATGCATTTCTAGAATGGAGAAGAAATAAAACTTGCCATGGAATAAAGTATTTGAAAAATAACTATACAACATATAGTTAGAGAAGCATAAGGGATCAAGAACATACCTTTATAAATCATGGGAGGCATACTTAACCGAGCATAAAGTTTTCCGCTCTGTACCACCTTTACAGCATCTGTTCTTCCAAACTTCCTTAGATTGGCTTGCATGTTTTTTTTTCATCCATCTACCTTTATTTCTCACCTTTCAACCCCCCAATTATAGACTTGCTTTTTTTTATTTAAGGAAGCAGTGCTCTGGTTATAAATGCCTGCAGGAAGATAGTGGCCAGTGTCAAAGATGAAAAAATATGATAGTATACATATTTCCAAACAGCAAGCAAGCAAATAGATTATTAGAAATTCAGATTCCTAGAGGCTAAGGATGAAGACCTGGGAAAATTGGTGGCAGAACTGATAGCAGAAACCCTGGAAAGAGATTATGAAAGAGATAGACTAAGTCTACAGGGTCCAGACTAACTACGCCAAAAGACATTGGCTACCTAGAGAAGTGCATGTCAGATTTGCCTGGAAGTACATCAGGGACATAATATATAAAGTAACGAGGGAGGAGACCATAAGAAATTATCACTCTCAAACAAATACCAAGGAGAGTTAGAGAACAACTCAAAGATTATCATTACCTGGCAGCACAATTAAGTAAACGGAACATCCTGTTTAGATGGATTATCCCAGAAGTCATGCTGGTTTCATGGCAGGGAAAAAAAAGATAAAAATAGACAACCTGGACAAAGCCCAAGAATTATATGACCAATTGACAGGAATGGAAGAAAATGATAGCAGTGGAGAAAAGCTAGAGGAAGGAACCCAGGAAGAAGGCCAGTTAGAATTAGAGATAGAAGACCAGGAAGATAAAGTAAAAGAAACACAAGAAACCCAGAAGGAAGAAGGCGTTAGAACTAGAACTCAAAGGAACAAGAAAACTAATAGAAACTAGAAAGAGATAGACTAATAGGAATATGAAGAAAGAACTAAAACTATTATCAATAAATATAAATGGGTTAAATGCTGCAGTGAAGAGAAAACAAATACAGTCAAAACTGGTTAAGCAAAACATAGATATTGTGTGCCTTCAAGAGGTACATATCAAGAACCAAGATAAAAAGTATTTAGAATGTAATAAATTGGGAAAATTCCATACTGCATTGGCAGGGGGGGAAAGGGGTGGTGGTTAGGGAAGAGTTAGAAGCAAAGCAAATTTATGCAGACCCCAAGGTTAATAATAGAATTAAAGATGGGAAAAAGACAGATGCTACTAGTAAATATTTATCCACCTAATAAAAACCAAAAACTTCTATTAAAAACTGCATGAAAATATTGTTGAGATAGGTCATAAAGATATATGCATAGTGGGAGACTACAATGGAATAGTAGAGATTGCTAAAGACTACATTTGTGATAATAAGAAATTTAAAAAAAGAAATATACTACCACAAATGATTTTTATATGATGGAGGAATTGAACCTAATTGATGTATGGAGAAAATTAAATCCCACAGAACAAAAATTTACATTTTACTCAAACCCACATAAATCATACTCAAGGATTGACATGGGATGGACAAATATTGATTAAGATAAAGAAATAGAGAAAATTGAAATTTCCCCAAACACCTGGGCAGGCCATAACCCCACTAAAATAATCTGGAGAGGTCAGAAAAGGAAAAGAAAAAGTTGGATTTTGAACTCCCAGATACTATTAAGAAGAAGAATATATCAAAAAACTTCAAATGAATTGGCACTAATTTTTAAAATGAAGTTTTATTGAGTTTTAACAAAACCAATAAAACATCTTATTTGAGTACAGCATGGTTCCAGGTTATCACATTTCCATACAGACACAATTTCATATGCATATTCATCTTATGTATTTAACTTCATACCTTATTACTCTTTTTCCAACTTCTCACTATTTCTCCCTTTACTTCTCTTAATTTTCTTTTATAGTTATCTCATTTTCTTCTTATTCAAATGTATTTTTTTACCTAAATTTCTATATCTTTTTATTCATTATACTTATACTTTTGTCTGTCTTGTTTACAATTTCATATGTTCTCTTCCAACATTCTTAAAAAGCAAAATTCCCCCTGTAATTGCCAATCGGAGTGCAACACCTTTAAGTCTTATTGTTATTATCATATGAATTCTCATTAAACATTAAATTTGTGCATTCTATAATTATAACATTCAAATTTCTAATATCTATTTTATACCATGTAAATCTCATCATTCAGACTCTGCTTGGTACTTCCTAGCAAAAGCAATATATAATATATACTGTATATATAAACATTAGTAGACAAAATAGTTATTTAAATTCATTCTAGTACTGGTAAATGGCCTTGTAAATCTTTCACATTTTTTTAAATATCTTATCAATCTTTTGAAACAATTACAGTGTTTCCCTCCCTTCTTTATTATTGCATTAATTATAAATAAACATACAATACAGTTTTTTCTCATAGATTATTTACTTATTTCATTTCTAACTCATTACAGTAT